TATTGTGTCTGCAATAAATGTCAATAGTAGTGGTACTTCAGGTCCAAGTGGTGACCCCCATAGTTTTATACAGGAACTTGAAGAGAATGACATTAATGGGGTTGAAAATGACCAAAATGTTTTCAATTTGTTTGAAACTGATGATTTGTCTGAAAATGAGAGTAATGTTGATCCCACACAACTTGTCGTGGATAGTGGGGACGAGGAGTTTGAGTATGAAATGCCAAAAATTTTTATGGACGATGAACGGTTTGATTCTGAGGTCAGCCCTTCAATAGCATCAGTCATTGAAAAAAATTGTAAGAAAAGTCTGATGTTACATCTTTGACTAAAGATAGTAAGATACCAAGCAATTGTAAAGCCTTAGTACCACCACCTGTTAACCCAGAAATTTGGCAATTTTTAGCTCGTAGAGCCAAGACAGAGGATTTAATTTCTCAGAGGGTGGTAAAGGGTTATTTTCGTGCAACGTGTTTTGCCATTTTTATTTCACGTGCAGCCGTAAAAAAGGTTCGTTATTCACCTTGTTTCGTGAAATCAGTAAAAAGATCAACGTGCAAAGTTTAATTGTTCGTTCATCGTGAAATGGCAATTTTAATTTGCGTTCTTCCGTGCAGATACCCCCCTTTACGCCCCTCTTCTCAGAATATTCTAAAGCTAACAGGGACAGGAATGGTCCCTTTGATTAAGGCGGCAGAATTATTTCAAGGGGAAAATCCATGTATTAAGACAATGAGAGAGTTGATTTCAAAAGCTATTTCAATACAGTGCAATTTGCATTTTGAGTTATCTACACCCATGTATTAAAAGAAGAATGAATTTGAAGCCACATATTGAACGTAAATTCCATCAACTATGTAACAGAAATGAAATTATTTGGAGATGACATCAGTAAAAGACTGAGGGAGATAAATGATGCCCAAAAGATAAACAAAACTTTCAGCTCAAAAAACTACAGAGGCTGATTTTATCGGAGAAGGTACCAGTTTGGAACGTCAAACCCAAGAGGCAATTTCAGCGGGAAAAGCCGGTACTCAAGAGGGTCATTCAGACAACCCATGATGAACATGAATTCTCAATACAGAAGAAAAATTGAAGGTTGGTAATACATGTAAACATGTTGAAAAAGTTAGGTTAAACATTGGTAAGTTAAAATATCATATTAGAAATTGGAAAAAATTAACATCAGATAGTTTGGCATTAGAAACAATTAATGGTTACAAAATAGAATTTGATGAGATACCAGTTCAGAAAATAATTCCAAGACCTATAAAATTTAATTCAACAAAGGAAAGATTAGTTGATGCAGAGGTATCTGATATGTTAAAAAAGGGAGCAATTAAAATTTCACACCATGAGAAAGATGAATTTCTTTCAAATCTCTTTCTTGTGAAAAAGAAAAATGGAACATTTAGACCAGTTATTAACCTGAAAAAATTAAACAGTTATATTCAGTATTATCATTTTAAACAAGAAACTCTGAAGTTATTTTGAAAAGCATCTCTCAAAATGCATTTTATACAAGCCTGGATTTGTCTGAGGCATATTGGTCTGTAGCGATAAAAGAAGACAGTAAAAATTATTTGAAATCTATGTGGAATAACAAATTATATAATTATGAATGTCTCCCATTCGGAATAGCTTCAGCTCCAAGAATATTTACAAAAATCATGAAGGTGGTATTTTCACATGTGAGACAGTTAGGAATTAGTTCTTTCTTTTATATTGATGATTCCCTATTACAAGCACATTGTTTCCAACAAGCAAAATGAAACACACATTTTGTAAATGATTTAATAGAATCACTTGGCTTTTCAATAAATATAGAGAAATCAAATTTTATACCTTCACAAAGAACAATGTTTCTGGGATTCATTATTGATTCAGTTTTGTTCAAGGTATTTTTACCAGAAGATAAAATACAAAAAATTATAGAAATTTCATACAAAGTGTTTGAACGGGTTATATTCTTCATCTTATCATGCAATTACACTTGCACATTTACAGCATAGATATCTGGACATTGACAAAACAAAAGCTTTACAAAAATCTTTTAAAAATGTTAATGCTCATATGTCTTTGTCTGTTGAGAGTAAAAATGAGATTTTATGGTGGATTCAAAATATTAAAAAAGAAAATGGTTGTCCAATTCGACAAGAGCCTCCAAAAGTTTATTTACAAACTGATGCGTCTTTGATAGGTTGAGGTGCAGTATTTGAGAAAGATTGTACCCAAGGTAGATGGAATATAGATGAATGTCAGAATCATATCAATGTGTTAGAATTAAACATAGGCGGATCCAGGAGGGGGGGGCCTGGGCCCCCCATTTTGTGGGAAAAATTTTGTTGATTATATAGGGAATCACTGAAGCATGACTGGAGCGGGCCCCATCTTAGGTCAGTCAGAGGGCCCCCCCCTTATAAAAAGTTCTGGATCCGCCACTGTTAAAAGCAGTAATTTTGGCATTGCAGGCTCTTTGTAGATCTGTTAAAGATTGTCATATTTGTGTTAGAACAGACAGCGCAGTAGCGGTTGCATACATTAATAATCAAGGGGGATCAGTCTTATCGCTATTAAAACTTGCAAAAGAAATTTGGTTTTGGAGTACTGAAAGAAAAGTATTTATATCTGCAGTACATATCCCAGGAAAACAAAATATACAACCAGATAATTTATCTAGACAATTTAATGATTCTTCAGAGTGGAAACTAAACAGTTCAGTTTTTGAAAAAGTGACTTTAAGTTTATTTAACCCAGAAATTGATTTGTTTGCGTCTTGTTTAAACAAACAACTGCCAAAGTATGTTAGTTGGTTTCCTGATCCAGAAGCTTATTCTTCAGATGCATTTTCTCTCTCTTGGAGTAATTTATTACCATATATTTTTGCTCCTTTAAGTCAGTTGCCAAGAGTACTACAGAAAATGGAAGAGGACAAGGTAAGGAAGGCATTAATTTTAGCTCCTGTTTGGACCACACAAACATGGTTTCCAAAATTATTAGAATTATTAATTTCTACTCCTCTAAAATTACCAAATTGGTCAGATCTATTATTGGCTCACAATGGTCAAAGACATTCAATGAACAAGCGAAGATTATTCCTTATCGCTTGTATTGTATCCGGCGATATCTCATTGATAAAGGCTTTTCAAAAAGAGCTGTCAGAATTCTCTCCAAATCATGGAGAGATTCATCCAATAAACAGTATGAATATGCTTGGAGGAAGTGGCTTTTGTGGTGTAGTAAAGAACAAATTAATTCCACTTCTCCATCTGTGATACAAATTTTGAATTATCTATCTTTTTTGTATGAAAACAAAAAATCTTACAGCTGTATCAATTCTCATAAATCAGCGATTTGTCAGACTCTGACATTAATGGGTATGGCTGAATTGGCAAAAGATAAACACATAACTAGATTTATGAAAGGCATATTTAATTTAAGGCCTTCATTACCTAGATATACATTTACATGGAATGTTGGTACAGTTTTGAAGTACTTATCACAATTATATCCAAATGAGAATTTATCTCTAAAAATGTTAACTCTGAAATGCATTGCTTTATTTGCATTGTCATCAGCTCAAAGATCACAAACACTTGTTAATTTAGATCTGAGATTTGTATCTGTAACAGACAATTCTTTGATTTTTAAGATACCAGTTTTACTAAAAACAACTAAACCAAACAAATCTAATTTAGATGTTATCATACATAAATATCAAAAACAGGAGATTTGTCCTGTTAGATGTATTAAACATTATATTTTACGGAGAAAGGATGTTCGAAAAAGTAAAAATTTATTCATTTCTTTTAAAACATTCAAACATGTTACAACTTCAACTATTGCTCGTTGGTTGAAAATAGTGTTAGGTAATGCAGGAATTGATATAAACAAATTTAAAGCACACTCATATCGTAGTGCTTCAACTTCAGCTGCTAAACAAGCTGGAATTTCACTGAATGATATATTAAAAACTGCCAACTGGAGGTCAGCTTACACTTTCCAAAAGTTTTATTTCAAAGATATTGAAACTCCATTGCCATCATATACTGAAACAGTATTTAATTCTTATTTATAGGTAGTGGTTTACAGGAACTGTATGGTGGACCAGGAGGATCAGCTATGGTTTTTCTATGTATCTAGCATTTCTGCGTGATGAATGGTTTTTGGACATTCAATTTATTTTTTCCAACAGGAGTTTGCTGACATTTGGAGTTGAATCGAACAGTTTTAGTCAATAACATTAATTTTAGAGAACTTTTGAGAAGAAGTATAGAGAAAATGTGATACTTTAAGAACAATGAGAAAACAACAGTGTTATTTTGTTATACTTGTTACATGTGAGAGACATTTAAAAGTGGACTTTAAAGTATTAATTGTTTTCTGAAGATTGTAACAAATTTTTGTTTTTTGAAGATTATAAAAAGTTATTATGAAGCTTATGTCTTTATTCCACAAAACAAAGAAATAATCTATTATTTCATGGTAGTCATTGCAATTCTGGGTAGTTTTGGAGTAATGTTATTGAGACAAAATGTGATAAGTTAATGACCCGCTACATGTACATATTATGTAGAGTGGTAATTAGGTTTTCTACTACTACAGGGTGTTTTATATTTGGTAGTAAAAGAGACTGTTTATAATAGTTGGTATGAAAACAGAGACTGTTTATAACATCTAACACAGGGAATAAAAGGATAGTAGATAGACATATTGGTGATTGTGTATTCTCTTTCAAACAAGTGATATACATGTATGGAGACAGATAAGTTTTCTTTTTATCTGCATTTAGATACTTTGATATGATTTAGGCTCATACATAAATATTTGTTAAAGTATGAGAGACCAGTTTTTTGGTTATGGAGTTGATGTTTTTGTTGGTATTTGCATTCTTGGCTGTAAAGAGTTCACTATTAACCCGAGACAAGCCCGGGTTATGATACATAATGGACCATCATCCAAACATCTGTGATGTGATGGATGAAGGTCATTATATGAGGAAGCCAAGGGCTTGCGAGGGTTAATAGTACCCTCCCTAGTGAATACCCATTCCCGATAAGGTTTGATATAAATGCAAATACTGGTCGTGTTACTACCTATATACACTGGAGATTTTACTGTTTGCCTCAAAATAAAAGAGGATACTACTCAGGTCAACTGGCCTTATATACTACCTGGACATACAAAAAATCACTCAACTGTAAAATAGGCGTGTGGCTGGCACATAATAAAAGGTTCACTATTAACCCTCGGAAGCCCTTGGCTTCCTCATATAATGACCTTCATCCATCACATCACAGATGTTTGGATGATGGTCCAATTCTTAATATTAAACAGCAATCTATTGCTCCCAAGAAGTTGATGTTTCCTAGTTTATCTCCACTGTCATGGCAATTATTCTCTAGCCATTGATCAACCAAGCAATGACAATATACTTCTCCATTATCTAGAAAATAGCAAAAAAGATAAATGTATGATGAAAGTGACGAAAAAATACATCATACAATATAGCATGTCTTCATGAATTTCAAGAAGCTTTGTTTGTAGTTTCTGAGAAAAAAGGTAACAAAAATTCCTTTTTTTTCATTGGATTAGGACAAAATATATAACTTTTATCACTAAATTCCCATACCATATTTCAGGAACTGTTTAGTTTAGATCACTCATAGAAAAGGATGAATTGTGATTTCCCATAGAGATCAATGTGACAATAATGTCCCATGTTTGAAAATTCAGAAGAAAATGAAAAATCTTTGTAAAGGTTCTTCAAATTATTATTCCTATAATACTGCCTGGTATTTTTAAAGTAGGAAGACATTTCAAAAAGTTATAACCAATCAGAAACAAGAATTGCTATTGTTTTGTTTTTCAATCAAATGAAACAACATCAAAGTTTTGAGATAAAAAAAATTCTGAAAAATCAGAACTGCCAAGACTGCTTGAAAACAACTTAACTTCTATATGGAAGCAAGAATCTTCTTGCAAGTGATAATCGGCCACCATGATCAAAATGTTAATAACCCTGACATTCAGGCAAAAGAATACAACTCAAATTTTCCAAACAAGCTTTGAAACTTTGCTTGTTTTCCTGAAGGATATTTAACTCACAATATCTATGTACAAGACATCTTGTTGCAAACAAGTTTGATTAAATTACAGACCATGTGTCCACATTTTGCTGACAAGTTTCTGACAACATTACATTCTACTTTCTGTTCTGGTAATAATTACATCAGCCAATGAAATTTCTATCGTCTAATTTTTAAAGGTGAGTATTATGAAGGACATAACCAGAGGATCCTGAAAGGTCTTTAAAACCGAAAGTAGAAAGGAGCTTTGTCAGATCCTTGTTAGCAAAGCGTTGACAGAGGATCTGTATTTCTATGAGATTGTGTTGAAAACAGCCTTTTTTAGTTGAGATGTTGCTCATTGGAAAAATAATTAATGGCAAAATTATAAATCGTGGCAATTTTGGTAGTTTTGGCAGATTTTCTAAAAACCTAAGAGGTCTCAAAGTCTAAATCAAAGATTAAAATAAAACTCAATTACATCATTTCTGATCTCTATCAAACTACATCTTGTCAACATCTGAAGGGAGTTGTTTGATAAATTCATAACAAATAAGTATTTAATTTTTATTTCAGAGGTTGGACAAAATGCCTTAGTATTCATTTTCCTTACCAGAACAACCTACACCCAATTGACATGTTAATCAATCATCATAATTATCATCATCATCTTCATCTTCATTGTATTCTTCATCCTCATCCTCCTCTTGGGCAGCAGCAACTACAATATCAATTAATTGCAGTCTTTATTACGTATATATATGCAGGTCTAGTTTACAGAAAAGGGAATAATTGGCAAAAAAAAATAAAGAAAGGAGAAAATAGGTCGAATAAATTCTAAAAATAGAGTTTAATGAGGTGCTGAAATATAGAGAATAATCTGCAAAAAAAGGAATAGAGAAAAATGGCCTAAAAATACAGAAATAAAAGAACAGAGTTCAAATGTCCCCCGCCTTGCACACATTTTATCTATCCAAGGAACAAGGGCAATAACTAGAAAAAGCACTTTTTTTTCTTTAAAACTTTTTATTAATATCTTAAGGGAAATGAAGGCTTCAGAGGAAATGGAATGTGATTTCCATTATAATTTATATTTCCAAGGGGCATAATTAGTTAAAAATATTTTATCAGAACTTATTTTCGAAAAGTGTCAAAGCCATTGCTGATATAAACCTATGATTTAAGTTTCATAAAATTCTGGCAAGAATTGAACACATGAGAGCGATAACATTGCAATTTTCTATATAATCAATATTTTCAAGGGTCATAACTCATTTAAAAAAAAGTTATTGACATTGATTTTTGAACTCTTCAAGTACATTGATGATATAAACCTATAATATAAATTTCATAAAAATCTAGCAAGAATTGTATACATTAGAGCACTCATAAGGCAATTTTCCATATAATTAATATTTCCAAGGGCATAACTCTTTCAAAAATAATTGATCAGCACTGACTTTCAAAATCGCCCTAGACCTTGCTAATATAAACTTATGATTTAAGTGTCATAAAAATCTGGCAAGAATTGTACAAATGAGAGCGCTAACGATGCAATATTCAATATAATTAATGTTTCCAAGGGACATAACTCTTTTAAAAATAATTGTTGATTGGCACTAATTTTTGAACTCTTCCAAGACATCACTAATATAAACCTATGATACAAGTTTCATAAAATTCTGGGAAGAATTGTACACATAAGAGCGCTAAGATGCAATTTTCCATAAAATTAATGTGTCCAAGGGACATAACTCTTTTAAAAATAATTGATTGGCACTGATTTTCCAACTTGTCCAAGACATTGCTGATATAAACCTATTATATAAGTTTCATAAAAATCTGGCAAGAATTGTACACGTGAGAGCGCTAACAAGACCGGATGGACAGACGTACAGACGGACGCCCGGTATTTCCATGTCCCCCGCAACGCCACACGCGGGGGACAATAAAGACCCATCCAGACCCTCAAGTATTAACAAACAATTAGATTTATTAAAAAAAATTTAACTTTTCAGATTACCACAAATCAAAAATATCTTGACAATACTCTCTAGAAAAACCCCAAAAAAATCAATTCATTTGTTTTTACAGGTCAGAAGATACACGTGGTGGGTAACTTTGTCCTGTGAAAAATATTCAAAGCTGGTGATTTGATCCTAATTGGTGCTTGTGATCATTAAGAATATGTTAACAAAGACAAAAATTATGATTTTTTTTGTGAATAATAGATGAATTTGATCATGAGCTAAAAACAACATCTGTTCATATTTTACCTCAATCAATCTTATGGTGATTCCTTTACTATCAAAAAATTGTTACTATGTATTCCTATTGTAGTTGTGGAAGACACATATTGCTTACATGCGGGATCAAAACTCATATTCTTGAATGAGAAGTTTTAGAGTACAACACAAAATAAGTTTTTTTTTCAAGAGACATGAAATCTAGGATACCAAAGATGCATCTAATTTATTTATCATATTTTTTTTTACTGAACCCTTCCATTCCCCCTAGAAGATGACCTCACATTCCAATGTATATTCTTTGCTTTCCTTATTAAGTGTACCATTCAAATAAATTAATAACCTTTCACATCTTGAACTTCAGGCCATATATAAGATCTTCTAACATTTTAGATAAAAATTGTCTAATGAATTAAATTTCTAAAAATGCACAGTGTCTTTACGCTCAGTTATACAAATTTCTGGATGAATAATCTTGCCATTTTATCCTCAAATAAAAAATACCACAGTTGCAGGACATAGCTGCACAGTACCAGGACTTTTTTTCACACTTATAAACAGGACTGTATCAGAACATTGCAACGTTTCCAATATAAACATGGTAAAAGTATGTAAAAAGGTATTGGTGAAAAAGTAATCAATAGAATGGTTGTTATATTGCCATTCTTATACAATGTAAACAAACCAAACTAGCACAGAATCAGGACCCACCAGCTCTGGTCAGGACCAAATCACCAGCACAGAACATTATCTGGCAGGACAAATTTACCCACAATTTGATAGAAGTGTTTATACAGATTTGCAGATGGTATATATTGGTATTTATGTAGAAAATTTTAAAGTTAAAAGAAAAAAGACAATGTTTTCATCAAACAAACTTTGTAGAACATAGTATAGTGGGCTAAAATTTCCAAAGTTTTCACAGGTTAAATCTGGACAATGATAAATTATTAAATTTCAACATATTTTTATCATACCTAATCTTTACGGTATGTTGCTTATCAATACATATTTAAAATACAATATGATATGCAGACTTTAGAAAAGAAAGACAGGCAGATTTCAGACACTCCTTTTCCCCTTGAAAATATTTCTTTGCATAGAACTTTGTAAGCTTTACAGGGCATTGACATGAGTTCATACTGTAAGATTCATAAATCAATTTCATACTTACAGTTTTCCACAAGTTTAATAGGATCGAACTTTAGGTCAATTTCAGCACATTCTGGATGATCTTCTAGATATTTTTCTTTAGCTGCTATGGCTGCCTCTTTCATTTCCTTTAAATGTAATTTTTTCATACTGTCTTCATTACAACTAAAAAAGAAACACGCATTTAACATGGATTTTTTTTAGCAGCTATGACCTTGACCTTTGGCCTTTTGATTTGTAAATTGATAGATTTCTTCCCTTCTCTAAATTGTTCATCTATATTTCCTTTTAAACCAACAAAGGAAACCAAAGGAACCATTCAGAATCCATTTTTTCCAAACATTTCAATTTTCTTAGTAACAGTGACCTTTAACTTTGACCAATTGACTCCAAAATCAAAAAAATCCTGCATCTATCTTCTATTTTCAAAGTGTTTAAGTTTCATTCCAATAAAGCAAGTAAAACTCAAGTTAACATCAGGAATTCATTTGTTTGGACACAGGCTGAGGAATGAGTGAAGTTATGACTATAGGACTTTCTTGAATACACTTCCAAAAGCCTGAATCTGATATTAAATTTACAATTGAGTATGAATATTCCACTATTATGGAAGTATACTGGTATAAATACTGGTTGAGTGCAGTGCAGAGCATTGGTGAGAAAAAATAAAAAACAATGTGTTACTCTAATTTACAAAAATTTCCAGCTGTAAAATCAAGTTTGATTACAAGTTTGTTAGAAACGACAATATCATTAATTATTTCCATATCTTTAAACACCAAATACGGGGAATTCATCAATTATTGCGTGTATTTATCATTGACAATCCTGAAAGATCCTAAGAAATGTAAATATTTTACGAAGGTAATCAGAAGGTAATCGCTACAGAAATTATAAATGACAGTTTTTATTATTGCAAACTCAATATTCTCACATTTTTCAAGTTATAAAAACATTGCAATAATTTCTGAACTTACAGTATTATATTCAAATAGAAAGGGATTAAAAACTTCTAGTTGTCTACCCTAAATTGAGCTTCATTAACATGAAGCAGTTTGTCTGCCCAATAAGGGAAATAACCTGCTTCAAATTATATTAAGTAAAATGTCTGATTCCTGAAATGAGTTTCTTGAAAAGGCTATATGCTCCAAAAAAGAAAATTTCAGGCAGCATAAAAAATAGAAGTAGTCACTGAACAATGAAAATGAGGTTTAGGAAATAAAAATATGCCCAATGGAAACTTGAAGCATATGAAAACAAGATATCAATTATCAAGCTCTTCTACCTTTTGAAATATATAGCATGACTGTGGATTCATTTATTTTCGTGGGTACCAATTTTCGAGGGTTAAGGAAAATTTGTAATTTCATGGATATTTGATTTCATGGTTTTACAAAAGTCTACATACAAGCCTATATAAAATTTATACTTTAGTGTTACTCTAAATTCCTGGTTCACCTGTACCCACAAAAAGCACTGAAATTGGTTTTCAATGAATAATAATGAATCCACAGTATACAAAAAGTTTACATTGTTCCTGGATTAGCACCCCTAATCGAGGCATTCTGTGGCATTCATTGCAGTGAGATTAAAACGTAGAAATTTACTTACTCATTACCACTAAAGTGATCATATTGAATATCTGGTTCCCTACAAACATAACACATATGTGCACCACATACACATGTCATCATGTTGCATCCCACCTCTTTCATAAATCTTTTGCCACATTGATGACAGGTTCGTAACATGGCTTCTGAGAGCTTGTTCTCGATAAAGGTCCTCATATTTGTTTCACCCTGCTTCTCAACTTCATCACAACGGTAGGGAACATGATCGGGTTCCTTACATAATCTAAAAATAGAATGATTTTTAAATAATTAAGCTTCCTTATATTACTATACATAAATCACAAGTTGTTTGCCATAGAAGGAAATAAAATGTTTTTCCTTGTATTTTTGGCAACATCAGAGAAAATCATCAACTTCATAGACCATAAGCGTTTTCTCAAATGCCAATAGGTCAATCTACACAAAAATTAGGTCAGTTAGGGATAAATCTTAGAACTCAAAATTGGTGTAATAGAAGAACATTATATGATTACAGACTGGTCAATGTTTCTTGTCTTATCCCTAAACATGTACATATTTAAATACATACATAAGTACTGTACATTGGACAAAGGATAAACCAGAGCATTATTGACAGACGCAACACAAAAATTGAAATAAAGTAAAGCAAAAAGAACGAAAAAAAAAACTAAAGCAAAAGCAACCGGCATACAAACTTTAATTATACAAATAAAGGTGAAATCAGGTGCAACAGATGTGTTAATTCTAATTCAATTTGATGAAAGCTATTTAAAATAAGGATGATCTGAGGTAAAGTAATCTCATGCAAGCTGCTTCACTGAATCAATATTCATTTCAATACCAAAATATTTGAATTGACCAGTTGCCAGAAAAACAGCTTAATAAAAGAGTAGTTCACTTTATAATAGATAATATAATATGATATACAACCCAACATTCTTTCTATCAATCATAAAATCAACAAAGTTCATTTCTCTAAAATCCAACATTTAGTGAAAAGAAAGAACTCCTATATACATACATACACACAAACTTAAGTGTGTTCATCTCATCAAAGTCTTACCTGCAGGATTCTTTTAAACATTCTGGATTCAAACACTTGAAAACCTTATCTTCATCGGACATAATGGTAGCAAAACTACAAAATGGACAACTAACAAGGTCAGGAATGCCAGCTTGTTTTATCTCCTCCTCTTGTAGTCGCCGTAATAATATAGAAAACATATTCGTAGGTAATATTTGCTGCAGGATGGATACAGGGAATTCCTCCTTACAAGAGTCCAGGAGACATGGAAATTTTGTTTTACCATCTCCTATGATCACTTCTGATGACCTTCTAATGCATTCTTTACAGAATAAATGACCTTCAGCACAGACTGACATTTCTTCGAACATACATTCATCATCAAAACAACATCCACATTCAAATAATTCTCCATTTTCTTTGGCTTGTTTTCTCTGCAACTGTAGAAATCTTTCCTTTTCTTCCAAATGATCTATAATATCAAGGTTTAAATATGTATTTTCTGCAATTTTTAATACAACTTATTTATTAGCTAAAATGTCTTTTTCATGATTGATTAATACATTGAGCAGGAGACAATATAACAGGCATATATATATCTAATATCAATAATAATGGAATTTGAATAAGTGTACTGTTTATAGATATGTCTCATATACATGTTATTGCAAACCAAATGAAACTTAAATCAATCAAATAATAAGGTAAATTAATCAAAGAGTTATAGATTTCTCTTAGAAGAAATTTAAAGGTCCCAGTGAATAAACTACACAGAGAACAATAGCCATTGTATTTATTCAATGGGACAATAGAACTGCCTAAAGTTTAAATAGATTGACCAATAGGAGATGACTCTGTGGAAAAGTTTCATTTGGTTCGCAATAACATATAAAAAAACAAGAATATTTCATACCAGTAGTTTTTTTGTTTTTTTTTGTCGTAACGTGCTCAATACGTGTATTTAAGTACAAATTTTAATTTAAATATTTTATATTGCATTTTGCTAATTTTTTTTAGATAGTTTCTAGCCAGTCTTATGATAAAAAAAAATTAGTCAAAAAGGATGTGCTTCGAAGATGCTCCAGAAGTTTTCAATATCCTGTGCCCTCTCCCGCAATGGATTAGTGCATATGAAAAAACCCATCTCATGTGTACATGGTGTAGTGTACATCAGCATCACCTCAGGTGTACATGGTGTAGTTTACATCAGCATCACCTCTGACAGGTGTACATGATGTAGTGTACAGCAGCATCACCTCAGGTGTACATGGTGAAGTGTACATCAGCATCACCTCAGGTGTACATGGTGACGTGTACATCAGCATCATCTCAGGGGTACATGGTGTAGTTTACATCAGCATCACCTCTGACAGGTGTACATGATGTAGTGTACAGCAGCATCACCTCAGGTGTACATGGTGAAGTGTACATCAGCATCACCTCAGTTGTACATGGTGTAGTGTACATCAGCATCACCACAGGTGTATATGGTGACTTGTACATCAGTATCATCTCAGGTGTACATGATGTAGTTTACATCAGCATCACCTCTGACAGGTGTACATGATGTAGTGTACATCAGCATCACCTTAGGTGTCCATGGTGGTGTACATCAGCATCACCTCAGGTGTACATGGTGGTGTACATCAGCATCACCTCAGTTGTACATGGTGTAGTGTACATCAGCATCACCTCTGACAGGTGTACATGATGTAGTGTACATCAGCATCACCTTAGGTGTCCATGCTGGTGTACATCAGTATCACCTCAGGTGTACATGGTGTAGTGTTCATCACCTTAGGTGTACATGGTGAAGTGTACATCAGCATCACCTCAGGTGTACATGGTGTAGTGTACATCAGCATAAGTCAGGTATACAAAATGACAAGGTTACTAGCAGGTAACATGTATCATATTTAATTGGAAACTGATGATAAATTCCAAAACAATTGCATCTTTTTTAACATTGTCTGTTAACACTAACCATCAATATGAACATAACTTATTATGTCTGAATTAATCAATTTATTGTACATGGCCTAGTCTTGCTGCATGGGTAGTGAGCATTTTAATTAAATAATTATCATTGGGTATGGTAATATTCAATCTTTGATTTAAAACAGTTCATGACAATTTTATTCGTTTATCTTACCTTTGATAAGAGGTTCATGTTCACAATACAAAATTTCATAATAAAAGAACTCATCTGGGTCTTCTGGAAGATTAACGGTCTTGGTTCTAGGTTTGGATTTCATTTTCTTTCTTTGGTTTCTCACTAAATATAGACACGCATACACTTAAATGATGATGCAAAAAAAATATGTATCATAAAATTACACAACAAACTTTGATTTGTAACTAGTTTCCTTTTTTATGTCTACAATATCAGGATACATAATTTTTTAAATTTGTTTATATTTGTTTATCACTGTTTATGTTAAAATTTAGGCATTACAATAATGACCAGTTGCATTGACTTTTCTGTCTGTCAAATGCAAAAAAAAATGTACAGTACCCATAACCATGATAACAAATCTATTGACTTCACTAGGTATTTTGTAGATAAATCTCAAGATGGAGTGTTATCGTTTTTGAAAATTTAACAGTAGAAGAGAGAAATTGTCATCAAAATTCTCAGGAATTATTTCAACAGTTCCTACTGTGCAAGTTCAGGTGAACATGGTGAATGGAAAAACTGTTTAAAATTGCTCTGTGTTCAAGACCTTACTGCAACTTCCAGATGAAGAACAGCAATTATTACTTTGGGTGTTGTCAAAAGTGTAAAAAGATTATGTGTCATGAATTAATACAATATACCTTCTTTTCCATTTTATTAATACATACACTGAGCATCTGCTACATCTGCTTGTATTTCTTTCCTTGTTGTTGTGTAATGATGATTATGTTTATCTAGTATTTTCTTTATATATTTCCCTTTCAGCTGAGGAAAGTCATTTCTTATTTGAATATCTACATGTTTTGAATAATTCTCATTCATCTTCCTATTATAATCTTCAAAGAATTTAACAGGCTCTGGAAACTTCTGCATAAATTCCTCCATGTCAAATTTCAAATTTTTAATTCTGTTACGAGTTGATATTTTATTTTCCTGTTCTTCTCTTTCCTTTAGTTTTGGATACTTTTTATCTTCAAACATTGCCATGGCAACAGTTTTCATTCTTTCTTTGTCATCAGCTTTTTTTTCTAACTCATCATACAAATAATTAGGATCGCAGTCAGGGAATATTTGTCTGAGTTCATCTACTTCATCTTGGATATTAAATATTCCTTTACTTGGTTTAGGAGAAGTCATTGGCCCATCAGTTGATACATCTAAAGACCCTAGACTTTCTCCACCTGGTTTCATTTTCATCAATTCCTCTATGACTACTTGAATTCGGTTCTTTTCATGGTGATGTGCTTCTAAATAAGCATATATTTCATTTCTATCAATGTCTGGCATTACTTTAGCAATGATACGTGTATCTTTGTATAACAAGTCATTGGCCAATGCAGAAACACTAATAACTGAATCCGACTTCTGTAAATCAGTTCTCTTTGGTACAAAATAGTCTAAAATTTGCTGTGTTCTGTCTGTCTGTGTTTTCTTTTTTAGCATCATTTGTGAAATTTCATCAAAAGGGATACCTGGATACTGGACAATAACTGTTTTCATATCTTTAATAACATCACCGTGACCTTGACGTTTCAGACAATATAAACTGAGAATCTGCGAGAATACATGATCCACACGATCTTTTCTGTTCTGAGATGCATCTAACAGTTCCTGAATATCCTCTGCTGACACAGGTAAAGCAGGCATATTAGTTGTTGTTAAATCAATTATTTTCACAAAATCCTTCATGAGGTTTGCTCCAGTCGTTGATGGTTTAGCTGGAGCTTTTATTTTTGATTGTCTTTCTAGAAGTTGATTAGTCACAACTTCAATTCTATTTTTGTTTGATCTAATTTCTTTTAATTTATCATAAATTTCAGATACATCTACATCACTCAAAATGTCAGCAATAAAGTTGGCATCTTCCATTACAGATTTTAATTTAGTCATTTTTGGTACATTTTCATCTCTACCAGTTCCATTGTATGCTTGGACTTCATCCAAACCTCCAACATCTTGTGAGTATGCCAGAGTTTCCTGACTGAAAAGACTGTCTGCATTGTACTCTTCAGTACCCTCTAATGATTCTTCTTCCTCTATCATTTCATGACTACTTGTAAAACCATTTTCGGATAATCTTCCCTGCTTGCATTTTGATACTCCGTCCTCTGTTCTCTCCATTTCCAAAGACTCTAAAATTCAGAGCAAAACACAATGCAACTAAATATTGAATTTGGAAGTTCCTTGTTTAAATTGTTAAAAACAACACTTTCAATATATCAAATTAAGGGAACATACGATGTAACATTGGGAAATATAAAAGAAAAGCATGTGCAACTCAATTCTGAAGTAGATGCTTCTAGATTTGAAGCAGTCCTCCAGCTAAAAATCTCAAATCTGTATCTAAAATTGAAATATGAATAAAAGATGTGGGGTATACATATGATGTATGAGTACAGAAGTTTATCCCAAGTATCAAATTAAATATATGCATCTGAGATACAATTATATTGATATGGTACATGAATTTAAATGTGTACTGATTCCAATAGCACTATTAATATTCTAAGGCAAAAGGTCTTTCTTGCCTTGTAGATGCCTTAATTGAGTTTCAAATAATTATGGATCTCATTGATATATTCCCCACATCTCCTTTTCAATCAGATAGTACGAATTTATTCATTCAAATTGAACAACTGTTGAAAAAATCCTGTCCTTAAAAATGCAAAAGAAAGGTTGTACTCAGTATTATTATGATTGAGCACTAAATAGCAGTTAAATACAAATATTCATGTTTGAATTTCAGGCCCTCAAGTATGAAAAAAAAAATTGAATTTAATATGAAATTAATATCGTTATGACATTTTGAAATTGATTAGTTCTAAACATTGTTTAAATAAGTATTGTAAAAATTTTTGCTTTGTTATGTTTGAATTGTTCATATAAACAAAAACTTAATTGTGTATTTATTTAATATTCAAATTTTTTTTTTGGCAGTTATCACCAATATCTAATTTTCATGTAAAACATAACAGAATTTATACTTTAATATTTACATTTCCAACTTTCCTTTTTAAGATATTTAACACCACTTTCGGCACAAGTCTACTATATCATAGCAGCCAGTTTTATTGGTGGATGTCTTGGAACTGGGAGGTACTCATGGAAATTCGACAGTAAAACTGGCAATGATAACCAATAAAGATCATGATCAAACACATCTGGTTTGAATTCACAAACTCAGTGTTGACAAGCTAGCGATCATTTTGATAAATTACTTAGACCACTTGGCCACTAAGACCCCAAAAGAAAAAGAAAATATAATCTAATATGAAGAATTCATATCAAAGTCAAACTTTTATTATTTTGTAAACCTGATAATTAAAAGTATTCGCTTTTCCCTATTTTTCTTTAAGACACCAAAAGTAAATCAAGAAATTGCATTGCAAGAATATATTTATTACACTGCCTTTGTGTTAAATTCACTTCATTTAACAACCTTTCTTTTACACTATAGCTAATGGGCTGAAGTTGTTGCAGCTGTTGCTCAGTATGAATTAATGAAGCTTTTTTTAAAATACTGTGACTTGAACTTCCACTTATTGTTATTATACAATAGTAGTATAAAACTGTTGTCTCATTGGCAATCATATAAGATCTCCATATTTTCATACCTCTTGCATAAGCACATTAAATTAAACTTTCTTCTGAATTTGTAGATTGATAATGAATATCATATGTGTTATACATTTATTTTGTCTATTATAATGTGGTATAACGGTACATATTGTTTTTTTATTATGTTTATCATGTTTATAGGTCCATTCCATCTAAAATGAACATCTTCTTCTACAATTATGGAATACAAATAAGAAAAAATGTCACAGATAAGTATTGTACTAGCAAGTTTCAACGTCAGAGATATTGTAATAGCGCTATATATAGTGATTCTATCTGAGTAGTGTACTCTGTCCTTTTAGAGTTAATTCACAAGTGTAAATATTGCAAGACAACTTTTCCCTATGCAGGCTATGGATTTTTTTCAGACAGAATAAACAGTTAAAGATATGCACTAGGACATTTTATACACCAGCACATATACCAGAATAAATATAAGCTTTAAACAGAACAAATTTTAAACAATCATTCATTAGCAGCACTCCTTATCTTAATTAATATGCTCCAAGAAATAGTAAATGGGTCTATATATACAACATGTCCTATGGCCCTGAAAAACCTTCAACAACATGGCAGCAATAAAACTTCACCAAGTTCACTCTTGTTTTTTTTTTCTTAAAAAAAACACAAATTTCACATATATATATATATATATATATATATATATATATATATGATTGCTGAAAAGCACTGGCTACAATTACCTGCAAAAGTAACGAATAAGAAATAATTATTGTTACTTCCAAGACTAATACTAAACTTTATTTTCGGACAGGGACCCGATTTCATGCAGATATTGCATGTAACAATAATATCATTTGTTATTGTTACCCGCAGTTATAGTTACCAACAAAATAATAACACTGAAATAAAAAAATGTTTGATTTGCAAGCAATCCGTGAAATAAAACAGTTCTAAACAATTAAATTATGATGTAAAAAAATTTAACATGATTAATCTTCCAGATATATTTACCAATATGTCGTTCACTTTTGCCATAAAGGTTGGGTTTGATTATAGCAGCTCAATATTCTTAGGTTACATGGATTCAAATGAGCAAGATGTCCAATGTGTGGTCGGTGTAAAGTTTATATATGCTACACACCAAAAAAGACATAATTTTCAAATGTAAAATTTTGCAGGTAACAAAAAATTCAGGCAACAATAAAATATATTATTGTTACCTGCAATTTCCGTATAAAATTGGGTCCTTGACCACAAATACAATACACCTTATCGCTATTTAGTCCAATCCGGAAAAAACAGTCATTTAGACAACTTCCTGTTTGGGTCAACAGTCCGATCAACAAAGGTCATCAGTAACGAGCTGAGGGAGGTAAAAATTTAGAAAGCGACCAATAGGAAACTTTGATAGATTATCATGATTATGATCCACTTTTTCGAATCTCAAATTATAGTCAAAAAAATATTTTGTTTGAAGTATTTACGATGTTTTTTACAGGTCTCATTAAAAAGTATCATGCAAGGTGCATTGTTTAAACAGGGCCCCAGATAGCTTCAACTGGATGAAAAAGTTGTGTAATTTTAGAACTTATCCAGAATGGAATAAATAGCGATTAGGTGTATTCGGCAATTAGTCTTGGAAGTAACAATAATTATTTCTTATCGTTACTTTTTGTAGGTAAACGTAGCCTGTGCCTTGCTGAAAACAGAGACGTATAATACAAATATGTCTCTGCTGAAATATTAAGAAAAGTATGATTTCATATGTTTTTTGAGAAAATAAAAATAAAATTTGTAACCGATATAACAGGAGTTCATCAGGTAGCATCTGCCTGTCTTATATTAGAATGGTGGCTTACGGCGGAGAGTCTCATTTTTTGAGGAGGAAATTTAAAAAGGGAAATCATTGTTTACTGTTATGTGGGACTAAAAAATCAAGTGGTCCCAATTATGCTTTTCCTGTTCTATGATGCATCTCAAATTTTATTATGAAATATTAAAGGAAAATTTTTGTTTTCATTTATGAATGATTTATGTCACCACTTTGAATAATAAAATGGAAACTTTCAAAAACATACCAATGATATTTTGTAACGTAAGGACTAACTTGTCTGTAAGGGTATTCTGCTTACTAAGCAATTACACCTCCCCATTAGAGAGCTCTACATTTGTCAGGCCAAGTTTTCTAACCCTCGAAAATGAATTTTTCGATTTCTGTTCCTATAATTATTTAATGAATATTGATATCTTATTATGTTTAAAATTTAAAATCAATCCATCAAAAGATACAAAAGTATTTAGCATTTTTCTATTGGTCAGGACAATGGTCGGGACATTAGTGTAACCCAGAAAATATTTTCTTCCGGTGACAGTTTGGGAAAAATGTGAAACAAACAAAGGTTATATTTTAGAGTAACAAACACAAATTGTATGTCCCCTGGTTGAAAGCATTTATATCAATTGTATTTTAAGGCGCACTTTAATCAAATTGATTAAAAACCGGTGTTTACGTTAATGCGAATGCATTTATTCTGAGAGCAGTTTTGATTATTTTGCATGAGCAGGTTTAATATTTTTACACCTGTACAACAATGACAGTTAGTTTAACTTTGAAAATATTTTGTGTGTCAATCAAAAATAAATATGAGGCAAGTGCTATCTGATGAGCTTCTGAATGATATTCGTTTTTATTTACATGTATTGGAATTTTGCATGTCCGTTTTACTGCGGTACCATGATTTCCCGAGAACTCCCAAGAACTGAATATTGACCTGAGAACAGATAAATGTTACTCGAAAACTTTACTTTTTATATGGTGTTATATTGTTTTAATAGATATCAAAAGTATCTAACTTCAGGATACAAGTCGTTTTTACTCAATAAAAGTACAATTTCACTTCATGAATTCGATTTGTGTGTCTTGTATGCAAGTTCCGTGTTGATAACTATATTTAAATAAAAGTATAAAAATTATTCATCATTCTTTTTTTATTTTCCAAATGATCTATTTACTTTTCAAATGCCCATTATTCAGGATTTCAACTGGCAGTCGCCATTTTCGCATTTCCAAAAAAAATATAATTGTGGCGATTAAAAATCATCATAACGGTTCGACTTCGTCCAGCTTGTAAAGTTTGTTTCGGGTTTCTCTGACTTTTTCCCTGATCAGACAATACTCGGATTTCACCTTGAACTTATTTCTGAGTTCCAAATTCGTTTTTCTAATTGAGTGTTCATTTATTACAATGTAGGATATGAAATAGATATATAAAATTATAATGAATGAGACAACAATGCTGCAAATTGATTTTTTTGTTTGCAAGAATGTAAACATGTTTATGTCATGTAGAGTAGACGAAAAAAGAAATTGACCCAGGGGAAAACCTGATTATTAAAGAAACTAATCATTCGCAGGGCTCGACAATACCGATTGTCCGGTACCAGAGGAAAAAAAGGTCGGACAAGTAAAAGCTAGATCAAGGTTGTCCGACGGGACAAGTAAAATCATTTTGTAGAAAATAAATTAAATCCAACTTTGATGAACAAAGTAATAAACAAAAAACAAGAAAAGATAAAAACAAATATTAATTTGACATGTTTATATGCAATCCATAATTTAAAACTGGTTTTTTGACAGATACTTTATAACAGATAAAACTCGTAATATTCTCGGAAACCAGTCTTAGATGAAATCAAGAATGCCCTTTGTAGTTAAGGTAACAAGACAGTTCGGCACCAGCACGGAAACCAATCCTTCCATGTTTAATAGACAGTATGGCACCGTAGGAGACATTTCGGGACCAAGCCAACCAGTACCTCATTTCCCTACCTTATTCTGTTGCCTATTATAAATATGATAAATTTTATTTAACAAAAATATTTTTTAAAATAAAAAATGAAGAAAATATTGACCATAAAATTCACAGAATCATATTTGATCATATGTAGACAAAACAATACTTGATTGCTTTGAATAAACATTTTAATATATTAAAAACAAAGCTGTTTGTAGTAAGGCATTAATCATAATAATCAATATTTTACCAACATGAAAGACCAGGATACAAACCAAATGAGTGTAGACTGACAAGCCTACCAGACTGTGCCTCATGTGCAGAGTCTGATGAGACTTTGGCATTGATGAAAACTAGAACCTAAGTCCTGTGACATGACTTGATTCAGTTGTTCTCGACTCATATTTTTGAAAAGGATATCAAGAGATATAAATCAAATTCTGATCTTATGTTCATTGAATTAACTTAAAATGCAAAAAAGGTTAATATTAAGATTTTTTTTGGACAAGTTACAATTCCATTCGGACAAGTAAGTTTCAATGTGTACTTATCCTATTGGGCAAGTTGAAAAAAAAAGTTATTGTAGAGGACTGATTCAGAATTTTTTCATTTTTTATTTAGGGACAGTTATCTACACATGTACCTTTTGAATAATTACATCCACCATATTGTTGTGCAAGGAACTTGTATACAAGACACACAAATCAAGTGAAATGTAGTTTTTTTGAGTAAAAATTACCTATATCTCAAAATTATATACTTTAGTATCTATAAATTTAGTATAAAACCATATAAAATAATGTTTGTGGGTAACATTTATCGATTCTCGTTTTACTGGTCATCCAACTTTTTGGCTATCAGATATACAACTGTATGCTCCCTTTTTATACGACCGCAAAAAAATTTTGTGGTCGTATATTGGTATGACGTTGGCGTCGTCGTCCGGCGTCGTCGTCCGAAGACATACTGGTTTTCGCACTCTAACTTTAGTTTAAGTGAATGGATCTTTTTGAAATTTGACCATAAGGTTAAATACCACAAAAGGAAGGTTGGGATTGATTTTGGGGGTTATGGTACCAACAGTTAAGGAAAAAGGGGCCAAAAATAAGCATTTTCTAGTTTCCAGACAATAACTGTGGAACGGTGTATGGATCTCTCTGAAATTATACTACAAGTTTCCATACCACAAAGGGATGGTTAGGATTTGCTTTGGGGGTTATGGCTCAAACCGTTTAGGAATTAGGGGCAAAAAGGGGGAAAAACAAGGTTGTCCTGGTTAATGGACAAATACTTTTGTACAAAACATAATTTAAAGCAGTGTAAGGGAGATAAATCAAATACATCATTGAGATTATCTCCCTAACACTGCTTTTAAATTATGTATAAAGTAATGGTTAATGAACAATAAAGATAATTTAAAACAGTGTAAGGGAGGTAATCAATATACAACGTTTTGGTTACTTCCCTTACACTGCTTTTAAATTATGTTTAAAGAAATGCATATCTATAAAGGAAGACCAGTAAAAATATCTGCAAATGTTGCATCTTTTTTTTTTACAAAAAAATCCATATGAAAGATTTGACAGTATATTTTTAATTCTATTATAAAATAGATTAAGTTAGCACTATGGTAAATTTAAATGGGTAATTATGGTTGCCAACTCCATTGGAAATTTGAATTGAGATTATGACAATATCTTGAGGGAAAGAATTTTTTGGGGGAAAAAAGGGGGGGGGGATAAAAAGAAATTGTGGGGGGTCAATTTTTTCTCATTTCAGATTTCAGAAATTAAAAAGAATTATTCTTCAAATATTATTTTTTTTTCAAATTTCAAATATTGAAAAATTTCAAGAAGTAATCTTTAATTGCACAGTATGGCGCATTAGATTTGTAAAATCTTTGATCACATTTATTTATTTGTTATGCCGAATCTAACAGTGCATTTAAATTTTTAATTTTGGGTCCAGTTTTCAAATTGGTCTACATTAAGGTCCAAAGGGTCCAAAATTAAACTTTGTTTGATTTTAGCAAAAATTGAATATATGAGGTTCTTTGATATGATGAATCTAAACATGTATTTAGATTTTTGATTTTTTGGCCCAGTTTTCAAGTTGGTCCAAATTGGGGTCCAAAATTAAACTTTGTTTGATTTCAACAAAAATTGAATATGTGGGGTTCTTTGATATGCTGAATCTAACCATGTATTTGGATTTTTTATTTGTGGACCCCGTTATCAAATTGGTTCATATTGAGGTCAAAAGGGTCCAAAATTAAACTTTGTTTGATTTCATCTAAAATTGAAGTATTGGGGTTCTTTGATATTCCAAATCTAACCGTGTATTTAGATTTTTAATTTTTGGTCCTGTTTTTTTAAATTTGTCTACATTAAGGTCCAAAGGGTCCAAAATTAAACTTAGTTTGATTTTAACAAGAATTGAATTCTTGGGGTTCTTTGATATGCTGAATCTAAACATGTGTTTAGATTTTTGATTATGGGCCCAGTTTTCAAGTTGGTCCAAATTGGGGTCCAAAATTAAACTTTGTTAGATTTCAACAAAAATTGAATATATGAGGTTCTTTGATATGCTGAATCTAACCATGTATTTAGATTTTTGATTATGGGCCTAGTTTTCAAGTTGGTCCAAATTGGGGTCCAAAATTAAACTTTGTTTGATTTCAACAAAAATTGAATATATGAGGTTCTTTGATATGCTGAATCTAACCATGTATTTAGATTTTTTATTTGTGGGCCCCGCTATCAAATTAGTTCATATTGAGGTCAAAAGGGTCCAAAATTAAACTTTGTTTGATTTCATCAAAAATTGAATTATTGGGGTTCTTTGATATGCCAAATCTAACTGTGTTTTTAGATTTTTAATTTGGGTCCCGTTTTTTAAATTGGTCTTCATTGAGGTCCAAAGGGTCCAAAATTAAACTTAGTTTGATTTTAACAAAAATTGAATTCTTGGGATTCTTTGATATGCTTAATCTAAACATGTGTTTAGATTTTTGATTATGGGCCCAGTTTTCAAGTTGGTCCAAGTTGGGGTCCAAAATTAAACTTTGTTTTGATTTCAACAAAAATTGAATATATGGGGTTCTTTGATATGCTGAATATAACCATGAATTTAGATTTTTTATTTGTGGGCCCTGCTATCAAATTGGTTCATATTGAGGTCAAAAGGGTCCAAAATTAAACTTTGTTTGATTTCATCAAAAATTGAATTATTGGGGTTCTTTGATATTCCAAATCTAACCGTGTATTTAGATTTTTAATTTCAAGTCCCGTTTTTTAAATTGGTCTACATTAAGGTCCAAAGGGTCCAAAATTAAACTTAGTTTGATTTTAGCAAAAATTGAATTCTTGGGGTTCTTTGATATGCTGAATCTAAACATGTGTTTAAATTTTTGATTATGGGCCCAGTTTTCAAGTTTGTCCAAGTTGGGGTCCAAAATTAAACTTTGTTTGATTTTAACAAAAATTGAATATATGGGGTTCTTTGATATGCTGAATCTAACCATGTATTTTGATTTTGGACATTGGACCATAATAGGTAAATTAAAAAAATTCAAGTTCTTAGACCACATTCTTTCTGTGTCAGAAACCTATGCTGTGTCAAATATTTAATAACAATCCAAATTCAGAGCTGTATCAAGCTTGAATGTTGTGTCCATACTTGCCCCAACTGTTCAGGGTTCGACCTCTGTGGTTGTATAACGCTGCGCCCCAGCGAAGCATTTTATTATGTATGATTTAAACAAGTTTGCGAAATATAGTATGTTAACTAAATAAATTCCAAAAAAGAAAATAAAAAAAAGTTGTATTGCTGCCATTTGGGATTAATACATGACCAGATAATTAACAAATTAATGTTGTACAATTTTACTTATTGTCTCAAGGGAATCACTAATAATTGGGATGTTTAAGATTACATCTGATTACTCCACAATAATTCATTTTTGCCTTTTATCTTGAAAACTGTAATAGATTAATAGAAATCTAAAAAGCAAAAATGATCAGCAAGACAGGATCTACACATATGGTCAGTCAACTCCTTACAAGAGTTATTGCCCTTTAAATGATGATTTGTTACCATGTTTTTGCCTATTATCTTCAAAACTATTATAGGTAGAAACTAAAAAAAGCAAAAATGGTCCACAGGACAAGATCTTCAAATATGTCAACATGACTGAAATTGTAAATATTCTCTTTAGGAAGTTATGGTCCTTCAATGATGATTTTTATCCAAAAGCGGCCATTGTTGAAAATGCAGGTGAGCGACACAGGCTCCTTAGAGCCTCTAGTTTAGGCTTTTATAGCTATGTACAATGTATCTGTCATAAAGGTAGAAAAATGATTATTCAGCATATAATAAATATGGGCATTTCTCTTCCTTTATTCAGCCTACCATGCAAAACCCTCGTGGGTAGTCAAGGTCGTTAAGAACCCCCTAGTTTATTTATTGAAAATTAGAGCATTAAATTTATTCAGACTCTTATCATGCTTATTCATAGATTTGTCTCCATTATAATTTTAGATGCTGCAATTGATCTTTGAATTGAGAGAATGGCAGATTTGGTGCACTGATAGATAAACACAAAAATGGCTGAAGAGGCAGATAAGGAAAATCTTGTTGATGATGTTGTGTCTACCCTACAGTCATTTCATATTGGTGACAGTCCCACTGACACTAACAGAAATAATTCTAACCGACAAAATGTATTCCAGAGAACACAACACCGATTTCAGTCATCGGAACCATCTGCCTCAGCTGGTATCATATCATCAGAATATTCCTCAGACGACAGTCAGTCATCTAATGAAAGGAAATCAAGAAGTCTAAAGCAAAGGATTCAAAGGAAATTAAATCAGAAATCTGAAAATTCAAATATTGGTGGAAATCAAAATTCTCACGTCCCTGACGTTGTTCCTAAAAGTGATCCATCAAACGCTGCCAGGTCAACGACTCAAGATTCACAAAATGAAGCAAATTTTTTGACAGAATCCACTTCACAACCTATTTCAGAAACAAGTAAGGAAACATTACCTAGTGCAGAAGTTAATCCTAATGTTCAGTCATCGGTTATAGCAGAAACGCAACCTCCAGTATCCACTGCTTCTCAACCAAACACATCTCCAGATAAACCACCAGAAAGAAGAAGGAGGAGGTTTATCACCAGAGAGAAGGATCCAGAAGAAACCAACACACCTTTGACCCCTGACCTTACTCAGAAAACAGGATCAGAGTCTCCTGAAACCAGTACTACAAGTGTAAGAACAAGGAGTAGGAGAAGCTTACTGAATCAAAATGAGGACTGGAAAGGTTCTCCTGAATCAAGTCAGACCTCTGATTCAGCAGAACCAGGAACAAGAACTCGACAGAGAAGGAGTGTACTAAATGAAAGTGCCTATTCTGGTATCCGAGCAAAGTCTGTTGAACGTACTGTTAGAGTAAGATCATCTGGACTATTAAATTCAAATCAGGATGTTTCCAAATCACTAAACTTGACATCTCAAACAAGTAATTCTGTTGACAACCAAGCTTCAGGTGAAAACACTGAAAGCACAGAAAAACCATCAACTTCTAGGAAAAGTGCCGCTGAATGTATACGTTTAAGACGAGTGCAGAGTTTAGAAAGGGGGAAAAGGCCAAATCTATCTTTCATGTCAAATGTTAATAAAAGTTGTGATGATAAACAATTAAGTCTACCGACAACTCAAGTCACACAAACACCAGTTATTGGTAATCCATTAATTGCCAAACTTGAATCGACCTATAAACTTTTAAGGACACGGAGAACAAGAATGTCATCAGATACTCCTTCGAGGAGTGAAGAATCAAGTAATTCTGTGCAAAATAGTCCTGAAATTCAATCCTCACCAAAAAATGGAATTACAAATACCCAGCAAACAGAGTCAGTGCCAAATGTAATGTCTTCCTCCAAACCTGTCCCTGATAGAGTTCCTACAAATAGTCAGAGCACCAATGAGATGGAATCTCATGATGTTGATAGTAAATCAGTAAATCAAGATGGAACAACATCAATACATGACATAGAGACTAAAGATCCGACTCTAATATTTAAATCTAATGAAACTATGGACAAACCCACAAATCCAGATATACATCAGCCAGAGAACAAATCATCCAAACTGGATCCCTCCATTTATCCACAACATGACATATCACAAACTTTATCCGATCAAAACATATCTGACAAATCTCCACAAAAACTTATATCTGGGTCAAAAACGGAACCAGGCTTATCTGATGAATCTCCTCAGAGAAGTAGGCATTCATCTGGAACAAGAACTGATCAAAACATATCAAACACTGACAAATCTCCTCAGAGAAGTAGACATTCATCTGGAAGCAGGTCGTTAAGTGAATCGACCGAAATCAAGCAAGTAATGACTCCAAAGGGAAGTAAATCATTAGACATTCCTGACTTAGCTCTCAATAACTCATCATTAAGACGAACGCCAGTCACTGATTTAGATCAAGCAATGAAACAAAGAGATGAAGAAAAGTTACGAAAATTGTTTAAAAATACTGAAGCAGGAATAAACGGTGTACAAAAACAGGACGATAATTCATCAAAAGTTGTATGCCAAAGTGAAGCTGTAATGGAAACCGATTTAGATCATGTTCCTATTCAAAATAGTCGATTCAATAGAACAGTTGACGGAGGTTTACAAAATAAGAGTTCATCCTCACCGTCAAGTCCAAAAGTGTTTTCTGAACAAATAAAGTCAATAGACAGTCCTAAGGCATTTACAAATCAAATGAAAGCACCAAGTAGTCCAAAACCATTTGGTGAGCAGGCAAAGACTTTTAATAGTTCGAAACCACTTGCAGATCAAATGAAAGCTTTAAATAGTCCTAAACCATTCTTACCTATGGCAGAATATAAACCTGTGACAAGTGCTGTGGCACAGTTAATAACTGAAAGTATCAACAAGGAGGATGAGGAAGTAAAACCCAATGATCCATCTGTTAAAGAATATAGTCCATATCAAAACTTAGATGATGCTGTAAAATGGCCAGCTTCAGTTCCTGGAACCCTTGATTTCAGTCGCATGGAAGTGTTTGAAGGTAATTGGGCTATTAAATTGTTTGAATAAGTTTGTTTCAAACATTTTTGTCTATTTCATTTTAAAGGAAAGTACGAACATCTTTAAGATTGTTCAAAAAAGCACATTTTTAGCATAAAACAAAATTTGACCGTTTTACTGAATATATGGGTAATTTTTTTTCGCAATTTGAACGTTAATTGAAGTAAAGTGCATGTAAAATGAAAATGTATATATGAAAAGTAATAATAAGAGATTTTGAATAAACCCCATTCTGGTATCCAACTTATAACAGATACATGTAGGTAATTTTGGTATATGTTTTTTAGGGAAGATGTTACTGCAGTGGCTGTCTTCATCTATTGATGATAACCATTACCTCAGATTAATGTTGACCCGACATGACCTGCAGGTTATAGGCTCACAGTATTGTACCTGTCTGATTGCTGCTGGAGTTATTAAAGAGGTCAACAGGAAGGACTCACAATGGCTGTTTAAGGTGAGAAATGAAATGAAATTTACCTTTTTTCTTTAATTTTGAATATTAAAGTACTTATGCACAACAGTATTATTGTGATATAAACATGGTTTGCTAAGATTGGTAACTACCAAAACATTGTTATCAAAATCAACTGTGCAGATTTGCTGAAATAATGTTTAAAAATTACAACAACAAAAAGTTCAGCTTTCTTTAAATTTTAATAATATGAAGTTGAAACAAAAGAAAGGGTTGGGTTTAGGTAAAAACAATATTATTTAAGAAAATATTATTAAACTGCAGTATACCTTTTGATGAGAAGCAAACATATTAGGCATTCTAATTGATAATTTCACAATTATGGGTAAATGATTAACTTCTTGTACTTGTAGTTAAGTGTAACTACATTTTTGTGTAATTTATTTCCCTGTTCTTTGGAAGTATAAATGTCTAGTAGGGCCCCCCATCAAGGATGCAAGAGCGTTTTCACTTTGTCTGTCCATTCACAATTATTTTTAAACACAAAAACTCCAAAAGTATAGGTAGGAGGCCAATGAAAGTTTGCACAGTTGTTGTGCATTATATGCAGATGTGCATATTATATTTTGGTGAAATTTAGCTCGTAAATATTAAAAGAAACGAAAGTAAATCACAAATTTTGAGGAAACAAATACAAGATAAAACAAAAACACAAAGACTCCAAAAATATAGGTAGTACCGTAGTAGCAAAGGGAATTTTGCACAGTTGTTGTGCATAATATGTAGATTTGCATATTATATTTTGGTGAAATTGACCTCATTAATTATTGGAAAAAAAACTTTTGCTAAAAAATCACAAATTTTGAGAAGCATCTTCTTGTGCTAGGATGTCATCAAAAACTGATATATATTGTGTAGACATGATATGCATTCCAAATTGTTTCCTCAAGTCAAAATTGTGTTAAAAACTTAATTTTCGTTAAAAAATTATAAATTCTGAGAATCTATTTTTTTCTAGGTATAAAATGAAAAAGGTATCATTTGCTTTTAGGAAATGATTCTCTGTGTCAAAATAATTGGATTCCCACCATTTAGGAAAATGCCCACCAAAATACATAGTGTTTGGATTTTAACAAAATATATTGCTAGGATTTAAATGAAAAAGGTATCATTTGCTATAAGAAATGATTTTCTGTGTCAAAATAATTGGTTGCCCACCATTTACGAAAATGCCCACCAAAATGAATAGTGCTTGGATTTTAACAAAACATATATTAATTGAGAACATATCCTGATTTAATTGCTGGTGTCGAAATTTATGAAGATTTGCTTTGTATGCATCAGTCTCTATGCCTCACATAAAAATGTGCAAACTTGGCCCTTGTTGACATGTCAGTAATCTAGTTTTTATAGCTCACCTGGCCCAAAGGGCCAAGTGAGCTTTTCTCATCACTTGTCTTCTTGTCGTCCTCGTCCATTAACTTTTACAAAATCTTCTCCCCTGAAACTACTGGACCAAATTTAACCAAACTTTGCCACAATCATCATTGGGGTATCTTGTTTAAAAAATGTGTCTTATGACCCCGCCTGTCAACCAAGATGTCCTACATAGCTATAAATAGAACATAGGAGTAAAATGCAAGTTTTGTCTATTATTTTGAAAACCATTATAAATAGAGAAAATCTGACAGGGGCAGAAATGTTAAGAATGTTGAGCTCTACCAATTGTCCATTTAAGTCAAAACTGTCAGGGGACTTCTTATAGGAGTTATTGCCCTTAAATGAAAAATTTTACCATTTTTAGATTCGGAAAGGTGAGCTTTTGCCATCACTTGGCGTCCGTCGTCGTCCATCCGGTGTTAACTATTTCAAACATCTTCTCCTCTGAAACTACTGAACCAATTCCAACCAAACTTAAGCTGAACCATCCTTAGAGTATCTAGAATAAAGTTTGTGTTTTATTTTGTGATTCGTCTAAAAACATGGCCGCCATGGCTAAAAATAGAACATAGGGGTAAAATGCAGTTTTTGGCTTATATCTCAAAAACTAAAGCATTTAGAGCAAATCTGACGGGGTAAAATTGTTCATTAGGTAAAGTTCTATCAGCCCTGAAATTTTCAGATGAATCTAACAACCCATTGTTGGGTTGCTGCCACTAAATCGGTAATTTTAAGGAAATTTTGCAGTTTTTGGTTATTATCTTGAATATTAATATAGATAAAGATAAACTGTAAACAGCAAAAATGTTCAGCAAATAAGATCTACAAATAAGTTAATATGACCAAAATTGTCAATTGACCCCTTAAGGAGTTATTGTTCTTTAAGGACAATTTTACACAATTTGTTTATCATGTTTTCTAACTTTAAAAAATCTCCTCCTCTGAAACTACTGAACCAAATTAAACCAAACTTAAGCTGAATGATTCTTAGGTTATCTAGAATAAAGTTTGTGTTTTATGTTCTGTTTCCTCAGAAAACATGGTTGCCATGGCTAAAAATAGAACATAGGGTAAAATGCAGTTTTTGACTTATTTCTCAAAAACTACAGCATTTAGAGGATATCAGACACAAGAAGTTAAAGTATTCATTAGGTCAAGGTCTACCTACTCTGAAATTATCAGCCAAATTGGGTATCTGATTTTAAGTTACTGCCACTGAATTGATGATTTTAAGGAAATTTTGCAGTTTTCGGTTATTATCTTGAATATTATTATAGATAAAGATAAACTGTAAACAGCAAAAATGTTCAGCAAAGTAAGATTTACAAATAAGTTTCGTATGACCAAAATTGTCAATTGACCCCTTAAGGAGTTATTGCTCTTTAAAGACAATTTTTCACAATTTGTTCATCTAGTTTGCTTACTTTAAAAAATCTTCTTCTTTGAAACTGCTGAATCAATTTCAGCCAAACTTGGGCTGAATGAGTTTCAGAGTATCTAGTATCAATTTTATATTTTATTTCCTTGTACGTCAAGAAAAATAGCCACTATGGCTAAAATGGAACATAGTGGTAAAATGCATTCTTTTGCTTTTGAAGAAAATATGACAGATGCAAAGAACATTTAAATGGCATTTTTAAGCCACTCATTAATATATATTGAAAAGCAAAAATAATCATTGATGAAAGATTTAAGCAAAAAATTAAAGGTGAGCGATTCAGCCTCTTGTTTTTTTAATTTTTGCCTATTATCTGGAAAACTAAAATAGATACAGAGAAACTTTAAATGCAAAAATGATCAGAAAGACAAGATCTTCAAATAAGTCTGCATTGTCGAAATCGTCAGTAGTCAGTAGAAACTTAAATAAGCAAAAATAATCAGCAAGACAAGATCTACAATTAAGACAATATAGAGGAAATCGTCCGACGACTCCTTATTGGAGTTACTGTCCTTTAATGACTATTTTTACCATTTTTTTTTTGCGTTTGGCATTATATGATAAAAATTAAAATAGATAAATAGAAACTTTAAATAGCAAAAATTATCAGCAAGGCAAGATCTACAAACAAGTCAAATTTTGCTGATATAGTTAGTAGACTGTCACTCTTTGTAGGAGTGATTACCCTTAAATGAGGATTTTTTTTTAACCTCTTTTGTGTTTTGAGCAAAAACCAAAGAAGATAGAAAGAAAGTAAACAGACAAAACAATCAGCAATACAAGATCAACAAAAAAGAGATTTTTGTCATGAATTCTATTCTCGTCTACAATGGGGGAGAGTGTCCTTTGTTCAATATGCACATAGACCTAGGTGAGCGACACAGGGTCTTTAGAGCCTCTAGTTTAATATTCAGATGCTAGATATAAAAAAAAAAATATAAAAATAAGGAGATGTAGTATGATTGCGAATGAGACAACTATCAACAAGAGTTTAAATGAAGTGGATATAATCAATTATAGGCAACTATATGGCCTTCAACAATGAGAAAAACCCAGACCGTATAGTCCGCTTTAAAAGGCCCTGACATAAAAAATGTGAAACAATTCAAACGAGACAACAAATGGCCTAATTTATAACAAAACAATTTATGAGAAACAAATTTGACAGACATGAACCAATAACAACCACTGAACAACAGGCTCCTGACTTGGGACAGGCACATAAAGAATGTGGTGGAAGCTATGTTCTCCAAGACTTACAAACATACTTCACATAGTATCATGGAGGCCTCTTTAAAAGAGTGGTCTAAAGAGTTCATCTACAATGACCACTTGCCTGTCGATACTGAGGTTGAGAGTTCAAACCCAATCATGGCACAGTGCCCTTGAATTTGATCTCATATGACTAAGATTAGCAGTTTTCCCCTACCAATGTTTTCTCTCCAGTTACTCTTGCTTCATCCACCAATAAAAACTGGTGCCTGCCATGATATATAGCCAAAAGTGCAAAAAGTGGTGTTGAATTACAAAAATTAATTGATCAATTATATTGGCATGCTTGAATTTAGATAAAGTTCCCATTCATAAATTTTACCTATTTTTCTATATGTAATCAAAAAATTATAAGGTTTTTTTTTCAGTATTTTATATTATAAAGTCATATTGTAAAACAAATTCTTTTTTTATTATCCTAATTCTGCAGTTTTAAAATAAATAACTGAAAATTAATTATGATGTAAAAATAGTGCATTCAATATTTAAAAAACATGGATATTTTGTTTGAAAAAATAGATAATTAGACCCACCTTATTAAACATGATATATAATATTCGTCCATCTCTGTTTAACGCCTTTATGATATTAAAAAGGTAGAATTCTGTGAAGTGACATTTCTTGCAATTTTTGGTCCCTAATTTACCTCAATCAAAATAACATAATTTGACAAAGTCTAGTAAATCATTACCCAAAGAACCTTTTAGTACCTCTTAATTTGACTTTTAGTCGTGGATAATGACCACCATCACATCACCTGTGGCTATTGATAAATTGTCACCAATAAAAATCTGTTCCGTTAGGTTGACCACAATACACTTTGTGTATTAACTTTATTATGGTATCAAATTAAATGTTATTATCTGACTATTGAGGATGTATATTGACATTT